GGGCGTCCTCTTTGCATCCCCCCCCCCCTCCATGGGGCTTCCTAAACACACCCCTGGGGAACGTTTCCTACAGCAGCGGAGCGACCGAGGCGCCTCGATCCGGTGGAAAGCCAGCGGGACACTGAGGCTGTCGGGAATTTGGTGAACGTTGCCTGCGTTTGTTATGGGAACGTGTTTGGGAGGATCCCTCTGGAAACAAACAGGGAGTGCGCAGATGGCTGTGCTGGGCACGGAGCACCAATCACTTCGCCGCCTGATGTCACCCCATTTCAGCAGCGGAGCGACCGAGGCGCCTCGATCCGGTGGAAAGCCAGCGGGACACTGAGGCTGTCGGGAATTTGGTGAACGTTGCCTGCGTTTGTTATGGGAACGTGTTTGGGAGGATCCCTCTGGAAACAAACAGGGAGTGCGCAGATGGCTGTGCTGGGCACGGAGCACCAATCACTTCGCCGCCTGATGTCACCCCATTTTCTCTGCTCGTTTTTCCTATAACGTGCCATATGCTATAGCCTAATGGTGCGAGCTCCGCCCAGGAATGCAGGAATTCATGGGTCTATTCCCCTCTCTGCCACTGAGCTGCTGTGTGTCCCTGGGCAAGTCACTTGCTCTAGTCTATTTTGACAAAAGAACGGCCAGGCTGGGTCAGACCAAAGGTCCATCTAGCCCAATATCCTGTCTGCACAGTGGCCAACACCAGGTGCCCAGGGAGAGTGAACAGAACAGGTAATGATCAAGTGATCCCTCCCCTGTCGCCGATTCCCAGCCCCTGACAAACAGAGGCCAGGGACACCATTCCTGCCTACTCTGGCGAGTAGCTATAGATGAATCTAACCTCCATGAACCCTTTTTTTGAACCCTGTTAAAATCCTGGTCTTCACTTAAAATCCTGGTCTTCACAACATCCTCCGGCAAGGAGTTCCACAGGTTGACTGCACGCTTTGGTTTGTTTTAAACCTGCTACAGAGTAACAGGACCATGTTTTCCATAGTGCACCCAGCCGGCTCTTGCCTGGGATCTCTAGGAATAACAATAAGGCAGCTGGGGTGCTAGGCAAACGGGCCCTTACAAAGCCAGAAAGAACAGGCTGCCAATATCCCATCACCAAACCCTTCCAAGAAGCCGTTTACCTCTTCAGAACCGCCCTGTTGCTGGCTCTAGAGCAGCGATACTCAGCTCGCAGGGGTCAGGATCCAAATTCGCGCCCAACGTTACCCAAATCACAGCACATTTGAATATCAGCGGCCAGCAGCGCACCAAGAAACACCCCCCTCCCCGCCGTGCAAGTAGGAGTCTGAGACGGAGCTGCCCATGCAGCCGACCTTAACGCCGCAGGCCTGGCGCCCCCAAGGAGATGCCCCCCTCCCAGCACGAGGGAGCAGGGCCGGGCGCTTCGCTCTGTGACCCGCCTGGAGCCAGGGCGTGGGCTTCTTGCTTTGCACAGCAGGGAGGCCCCAGAGAGCCAGGCAAACATCCCCAGCAGCAGGCATGTGCCCCGGGCTCTGTGCGCCTGCCTGGCATGAGCCCCCACTACCAGGTGCGCTTGGCTTGGTGGGAAACGTATGCAACTCTTCCCTCCATCCTCCACGGCTCAGCGCCTGAGCCCACGCCAAGACTCTGCTTTTCCACCTTCTCTGGGGGATCATGCCGGCCGCTGGGCACAAACGTGCGGGCTCTGCTCTTGCACGCTGACAGTGCCTCAGTTCGCACAGGTCGTCACAGTGCGGGGGATCAAAGTGCACTACGGAACTGCTCATGCGTGGCACACAGTTGACCTACGTCGCCTTGCAACGACCGACGCGCGCACGAGCCTGCGCTCAGCATGGTCTCTTGCCGGCGTAAGCGCCCTGTTACGGCGCCACAGTAATTGCACTTCCCCAAACGTCACTGAGCCTGGTCAACATCCCATGGATGCCGCTGCGCGAGCACAGTGTATAAGAATTCACGGAGACAAACTGAATTGCGAATGCTCAGAGAAAGGGCCCCTGAATACACCACACGGGGGCCACGGTTTCACCACGTTTTTACCAGCCACAAAGGTGAGTGACAGGGAGGTGGGGAGGGACAGAAGCAAGCACGGGTCAGGGCTATGGGGGCTTGGGGATAAGGGAGAGGGCTCAGAAACAGGGGCAGCATGTAGGTGGGGACTTGGGTGGAAGAGGGGGTGGGGTCACGGTTTGGGACACAGAGCCGGGCGAAAGAACGATTCGCTATCACACAGCAGGCTCAGATCTTCCTGCAGCCCTTTGCTCACCGTTTCCCAATGCCCCGGGCAAGAGGTGCCCAGACTGGGGTGCAGCGCCAGCTGACTCGGCCCAGCTGACTCGGGCAGCCGAGTGATCCCTGACGGCGCTGGAGCGGGGACTGCCAAGGCCTGTCCATTTCCTGTAACTTTCCCGGCTGAACCATCCCCACCTGCGGGGTCGGCGCCCACGTGTGAAGTTGGAAACTTTTCGAAGAATGCGCTGGCAAGCGTGTCTGGATGGGCGCGAGGGCGGGAAGGGGAAGAGAGGCAAAAGGAATTCATCACCCAGAGGAAAGCCGCCCCATCTTCCTCCTAATGCCTTTGTGCGGGACAGTCGCGGGCGGTGGGGTCGGGCCCTCCACGAAACGAGCGACTTGACTCCCTGCTGTGTCCGTTCCCTCGGGGCACCAGGCACTGGCCCCTGTCGGAAGACAGGACGCTGGCCTAGATGGAGCCTGGACCTGACGTAGTCCGGCTGTTCCCATGCTAGTGAAAATCCCCATGAAGCAAACTGGCCACCCCCGGCCCCATCGGGCTGTGCCTCCCAACCCCACGCCCCGCAGCCGCAGGGCTGGCCCTGCATGCACGCTGTTGTTTCTGAGACAGGCTCCCTTTTCACAGCGAGCTTGGGACGAGCCCCGGGCCAGCCCCGTGCACCAGCCTCCTCCCTCCTAAGGACCCTATGGGGTGTAGCTCATCTCCAGGGACCGCCCTGGCTGCCACTGCAATGCGGCCACCTCTGGGGTGCCACGGGGTTGGTGTTCTTCCAGGCCACAGAGGACTGCGTCTGCATGAGGCTGTGCACTGGGGTGTTAGATTATGGAGCACGTAGCGATAAGTGTATGGGTGTGCACAAATAAGTGTGCGTGGGCATGCACAGGTAAGTGTGCATGGGTGTGTGTGTGTACGTAAGCGCATGAGGGTGTGCACAGGTACGTGTTTGCGGGCATGTGAGTGTAGGTAAGTATACGAGGGTGCACACAGGTACGTGTTTGCGGGTGTGTGAGTGTAGGTAAGTGTGCGAGGGTGCGCACAGGTACGTGTTTGCGGGTGTGTGAGCATAGGTAAGTGTGCGAGGGTGCGCACAGGTACGTGTTTGCGGGTGTGTGAGTGTAGGTAAGTGCACGAGAGTGTGCACAGGTACGTGTTTGCGGGTATGTGAGTGTAGGTAACTGCACAAGGATGTGCACAGGTACGTGTTTGCGGGGGCGTGAGAGTAGGTAAGTGTGCGAGGGTGCGCACAGGTACGTGTTTGCGGGGGCGTGAGAGTAGGTAAGTGTGCGAGGGTGCGCACAGGTACGTGTTTGCGGGGGCGTGAGAGTAGGTAAGTGTGCGAGGGTGCGCACAGGTACGTGTTTGCGGGGGCGTGAGAGTAGGTAAGTGTGCGAGGGTGCGCACAGGTACGTGTTTGCGGGTGTGTGAGTGTAGGTAAGTGTGCAAGGGTGCGCACAGGTACGTTTTTGCGGGTGTGTGAGTGTAGGTAAGTGTGCGAGAGTGTGCATAGGTACAAGTTTGCAGGTGTGTGAGTGTAGGTAAGTGTGCGAGGGTGCGCACAGGTACGTGTTTGCGGGTGTGTGAGCATAGGTAAGTGTGCGAGGGTGCGCACAGGTACGTGTTTGCGGGTGTGTGAGCATAGGTAAGTGTGCGAGGGTGCGCACAGGTACGTGTTTGCGGGTGTGTGAGCATAGGTAAGTGTGCGAGGGTGCGCACAGGTACGTGTTTGCGGGTGTGTGAGCATAGGTAAGTGTGCGAGGGTGCGCACAGGTACGTGTTTGCGGGTGTGTGAGCATAGGTAAGTGTGCGAGGGTGCGCACAGGTACGTGTTTGCGGGTGTGTGAGCATAGGTAAGTGTGCGAGGGTGCGCACAGGTACGTGTTTGCGGGTGTGTGAGCATAGGTAAGTGTGCGAGGGTGCGCACAGGTACGTGTTTGCGGGTGTGTGAGCATAGGTAAGTGTGCGAGGGTGCGCACAGGTACGTGTTTGCGGGTGTGTGAGCATAGGTAAGTGTGCGAGGGTGCGCACAGGTACGTGTTTGCGGGTGTGTGAGCATAGGTAAGTGTGCGAGGGTGCGCACAGGTACGTGTTTGCGGGTGTGTGAGCATAGGTAAGTGTGCGAGGGTGCGCACAGGTACGTGTTTGCGGGTGTGTGAGCATAGGTAAGTGTGCGAGGGTGCGCACAGGTACGTGTTTGCGGGTGTGTGAGTGTAGGTAAGTGTGCGATGGTGCACACAGGTACATGTTTGCGGGCATGTGAGTGTAGGTAAGTATACGAGGGTGCACACAGGTACGTGTTTGCGGGCGTGAGGTACGAGTTTGCAGGTGTGTGAGTGTAGGTAAGTGTGCGAGGGTGTGCATAGGTACGAGTTTGCAGGTGTGTGAGTGTAGGTAAGTGTGCGATGGTGCGCACGGGAATGTGTTTGTGGGCGTGTGAGTGTAGGTAAGTGTGCGAGGGTGCGCACAGGTACGTGTTTGCGGGTGTGTGAGTGTAGGTAAGTGTGCGATGTGCGTGTGCAGGAGTGTGCGTGTGTGCATGAGCACATGCGTGTGCATGTGAGTGCGTGTGTATGCACATGTGTGCATGCGCACATGCCTGCCCCGTGTACGTGTGCATGTGCGTGTGCACATGTATGTGTGAGTGTGCATACATGCATGCATGTGTGCGTGTGCAGGAGTGTGCGTGTGTGCATGAGCACATGCGTGTGCATGTGAGTGCGTGTGTATGCACATGTGTGCATGCGCACATGCCTGCCCCGTGTACGTGTGCATGTGCGTGTGCACATGTATGTGTGAGTGTGCATACATGCATGCATGTGTGCGTGTGCAGGAGTGTGCGTGTGTGCATGAGCACATGCGTGTGCATGTGAGTGCGTGTGTATGCACATGTGTGCATGCGCACATGCCTGCCCCGTGTACGTGTGCATGTGCGTGTGCACATGTATGTGTGAGTGTGCATACATGCATGCATGTGTGCGTGTGCAGGAGTGTGCGTGTGTGCATGAGCACATGCGTGTGCATGTGAGTGCGTGTGTATGCACATGTGTGCATGCGCACATGCCTGCCCCGTGTACGTGTGCATGTGCGTGTGCACATGTATGTGTGAGTGTGCATACATGCATGCATGTGTGCGTGTGCAGGAGTGTGCGTGTGTGCATGAGCACATGCGTGTGCATGTGAGTGCGTGTGTATGCACATGTGTGCATGCGCACATGCCTGCCCCGTGTACGTGTGCATGTGCGTGTGCACATGTATGTGTGAGTGTGCATACATGCATGCATGTGTGCGTGTGCAGGAGTGTGCGTGTGTGCATGAGCACATGCGTGTGCATGTGAGTGCGTGTGTATGCACATGTGTGCATGCGCACATGCCTGCCCCGTGTACGTGTGCATGTGCGTGTGCACATGTATGTGTGAGTGTGCATACATGCATGCATGTGTGCGTGTGCAGGAGTGTGCGTGTGTGCATGAGCACATGCGTGTGCATGTGAGTGCGTGTGTATGCACATGTGTGCATGCGCACATGCCTGCCCCGTGTACGTGTGCATGTGCGTGTGCACATGTATGTGTGAGTGTGCATACATGCATGCATGTGTGCGTGTGCAGGAGTGTGCGTGTGTGCATGAGCACATGCGTGTGCATGTGAGTGCGTGTGTATGCACATGTGTGCATGCGCACATGCCTGCCCCGTGTACGTGTGCATGTGCGTGTGCACATGTATGTGTGAGTGTGCATACATGCATGCATGTGTGCGTGTGCAGGAGTGTGCGTGTGTGCATGAGCACATGCGTGTGCATGTGAGTGCGTGTGTATGCACATGTGTGCATGCGCACATGCCTGCCCCGTGTACGTGTGCATGTGCGTGTGCACATGTATGTGTGAGTGTGCATACATGCATGCATGTGTGCGTGTGCAGGAGTGTGCGTGTGTGCATGAGCACATGCGTGTGCATGTGAGTGCGTGTGTATGCACATGTGTGCATGCGCACATGCCTGCCCCGTGTACGTGTGCATGTGCGTGTGCACATGTATGTGTGAGTGTGCATACATGCATGCATGTGTGCGTGTGCAGGAGTGTGCGTGTGTGCATGAGCACATGCGTGTGCATGTGAGTGCGTGTGTATGCACATGTGTGCATGCGCACATGCCTGCCCCGTGTACGTGTGCATGTGCGTGTGCACATGTATGTGTGAGTGTGCATACATGCATGCATGTGTGCGTGTGCAGGAGTGTGCGTGTGTGCATGAGCACATGCGTGTGCATGTGAGTGCGTGTGTATGCACATGTGTGCATGCGCACATGCCTGCCCCGTGTACGTGTGCATGTGCGTGTGCACATGTATGTGTGAGTGTGCATACATGCATGCATGTGTGCGTGTGCAGGAGTGTGCGTGTGTGCATGAGCACATGCGTGTGCATGTGAGTGCGTGTGTATGCACATGTGTGCATGCGCACATGCCTGCCCCGTGTACGTGTGCATGTGCGTGTGCACATGTATGTGTGAGTGTGCATACATGCATGCATGTGTGCGTGTGCAGGAGTGTGCGTGTGTGCATGAGCACATGCGTGTGCATGTGAGTGCGTGTGTATGCACATGTGTGCATGCGCACATGCCTGCCCCGTGTGCGTGTGCATGTGCGTGTGCACATGTATGTGTGAGTGTGCATACATGCATGCATGTGTGCGTGTGCAGGAGTGTGCGTGTGTGCATGAGCACATGCGTGTGCATGTGAGTGCGTGTGTATGCACATGTGTGCATGCGCACATGCCTGCCCCGTGTACGTGTGCATGTGCGTGTGCACATGTGTGTGTGTGTGCATGCGTGTGCGCTCCATCGCAAGGGCAGCATCCCGGCCAGCTCAGGCCGCTGGCTCAGTGCATGGAACGGGCACCATGGCTGAACTGGGGGTCTGGTGGGAGAACCGGGTGGCCCCCAGGAAGTGGGTTGAGGGGTCCCCCGTTGGGCCCTGCGGAAGCGCCACCCCGAGAGGAGCGGCGTGACCTGGCTGCTGCGCTGGCGCTGGGGAG